TTGAGCCTAAAAAGCTGAGGTTGCTATGAGCCATGACACCATGACACTCTGCCAGGGGCGACAAAGTGAGACTATCTCAAAAAAAAAAAAAAAAAAAAAAATAAAGAGAGAGATGGCCCAGTACCCAGAGCACAGTGGTTATGGTGCCAGACACATACACCCAGGATGGCAGATCTGAACCCAGCCCAGGCCAGCTAAACAACAATGACAACTGTAACGACAACAACAAAAATAGCCGGGCATTGTGGTGGGCACCTGTAGTCCGAGCTACTTGGAAGGCTGAGGCAAGAGAATTGCTTAAATCCAAGAGTTGGAGGTTGCAGTGAGCTATGACGCTATGGCATTCTACTGAGGGTGACATGGTGAGACTCTGTCTCCAAAAAAAGTACTAAAATTAAATAGTTGAGCAAAGTCACAAGATAGAAAGGGAATAGAAAAGTCAATTATTGTTCTGTTTGTAATAGAAATGAACAGTTTTAACTAAAAAAGGTACTTAAATGGCATATAAAATAAAATACTAAAGAATAAATATGCGTATAATAAAGTAAATATAAGAGTGATAGGCTCGGAAAAAGGGAAGCGTGAGAGAACTCAAAGATCTAAATAGAATAAATGAAGAGATATCAGTTTCATTCATTAAAAGTCTCAATATTGTTAAAATGTCCATACTTTCCAAGCTGAGCTATAACTACATATTCAACACAATCCCCATGAAACTCTAAGAAGGCTCTTCTGAGTCCAAACTGGAAAACCCCAAGTAATCTCCAAGGTAAAGAGGGATAGAAAAATCAGAAGAAAATTAGAAATTAATGGTGCTAAGAAAGTCAAAAAATTAATGGGATAAAAGAATCTATTTAGTGGCTTACCGAAATTGCTATCTTCAACCTCTCTCTAAAGCAGAGGTTCTCAACCTTCCTAATTTCAACGGCCCTTTAACACAATTACTGTGGGTCGTGACCCACACATTGAGAACTGCTGCTCTAAAGGAAGGCCTCACTATTCTCTAGGACCACAGTTCTAAACTAGGGGCAATATGTATATTATACCACTGTGGACATACCTGGCAACTTCTGGAGATAGCAAGAAGATGCTAATAACATCCAGTGAGTAAAGGCCATGGAACTGTTAAAAATCCTACAACGCACATAAAAGCCCCCCAACAAAAATACTGTCTGACCCAAATGTCAACAGTGCAATTGAAAAACCTTGCTTTAGAGCCTAATTTGCTGGCATACACTGTGATATAAACTTTTTATAACAGTAGTTTTCTAAATGTTCACTTGCCTCAGGGAAGTCGGATCCTTGGTCTCCAACTGCTGCTCTAAGCTTTCATCAAGTGGTAGAGAGCTTCTCAAAACTCAAACCAGCAAATGCTCTGACTCATTAATTCCCATGAAAACCAAGGCTAATTCTAGACTTCTCCTGGATATTAAGTGACCTCGTGTAGTTCTAGAAGAAATTACTTTTAACAAGACCAACATGGTAATAAAAAAAGAGAAATGGAGCTATCTCACTAGGGTTCATGGAACCAGACCTGGACAGAGAAGCTGCTGTATAAATAGTCTGGGTGGATAAGATATAACAGACAGCTTCCTTGACAAGGTATAGCATAAGGTTTTCAGTATAAAACAATTAACTATAGGGGCAATCTCTTGCTTCTCATTACAGGTAGGGATTTAAGGGGGGGCATGCTCCATCAAACTTTTTTCCAATAAAGTTGTTTATAAATATTTTTGTTCATTTTCTTTTAGCAAAGGAAAAGTAAGGAATTTCACAAAGACTTTATAGAATAAAGAACTCTTTGAGATGTAAAATCCAAATAAAGAGGTAGCATCCAGAAAAGCATAAAGCTGACAAATAATAAATGTCTATAGCACCTGGGGCCTGATACAATACATTATGCAAGAAGGGCAAGTTAGATCAAGTATCCTCAAGCTTTTTAAACAGGGGGCCAGTTCACTGTCCCTCAGACCACTGGAGGGTGGTCCTGAGGGCCCTGGGACGAGTCGGCTGCTAAGCAGGACAGGTAGCTGCAGCAAAAACACCCAGCAGGCCGGATAAATGTCCTAGGTGGGTCGCATGTGGCCCACGAGCCATAGTTTGAGGACACCTGAGTTAGACATTTTCAAACAACATAGTGATAGTCTGGTCAGAAAGGAAGCTGAGGAGAGAGGTGATATATACAGAAAAGGTTTTAGTACTGTAGTATTATTTCATACTACTACAAAATATTACATTTCTCCTGCCATAACCTAAGTTCAGATCTTCATTACTTAACCTGGATTCCTACAAATTGCCTTTCTATCCTTAAATTCATCCCACCTCATGTTGCTAGAGTGAATTATGTTTCCTGCCTAAAACTATTTCATTATGCATCTTTATCTTACAGAATTAAAGTCAAACACAATCAGGACTCTACCTAGTTATTCTACCCTAAGACCTATTTATTTTCCAAGAATATCCAACCCCCATAACATTATTGCTAGGTATTGTACGTACGTTATTCTATACTAAAAACATCATGTATTAGAATCAGGACAGCCATGCCATTCCCAGGAAGGAGTCCATTATATCTTATCTACCTAGACTGTTTGTGCAGCAACTCTTCTGTATAGGTCTTAGAGGCTGGGTATATCCCCAACCATGAAGTTGGGAATGAGGCAGTTTTGTGTTTTATAATTGCTGTCACTCACTCAACTATAAACTCCTTAATGGTAGAAATCGTGTCTTAGCCATCTTAATCTGTAGTATCTATCACAGTGCCTGAGACATTATCACCAGTAACACTTGCTGAACATAACCACAGGAAACAGAAAACCAGGAAAGGAGTCTGACTTTATTATGGATGTCAAATGTAAACGCATGAGAAGTATATTCATATAACAACAAAATCTTTGATGCTGCTCAATGATTATATTCTAATGCTATTATTTCTATAATTTAGCCAGAATGAAAAATGTGAGAAGCTTTCAGTCATATATAAATGTTAATTTAATTTGCAGGTATAACTTTTTTTTTTAATTAGCTAAGAAAAAATAAACACAAAGCATAAGAAAGCAAAATGTACAGGGTAAACCTAAAATTAACAGGTCGGGCACGGTGACTCATGTCTGTAATTCTAGAACTCTGGGAGGGTGAAGCAGGTGGATCACTTGAGCTCATGAGTTTTGAGACCTGTCTGAGCAAAAGTGAGACCTCATCTCTACTAAAAATAGAAAAACTTGACTTAATTGTTTTGGAGAAAAAGTCCACATTTGAAGTTGAATATAATCTTAATAATCTAATATTAAAAAAAAAAGAAAAAGACTGAGGCAAGAGGATGATGCCATGGCACTCTACCCAGGGCAACAGCTTGAGATTCCGCTTAAAAAAAAAAAAGAGCCTAAGACAATTATAAATGACTAGAAAGAACGCCAAAATACGTTGAGGACTTTAAAAAAATTGTGAAAACCTTTCTGAAAATATCCCTTTAACCACTACGGAATAGAGTGATTAATTATCTCTTAATAAACCACATAAATGAAAGATGTTAGTGATAACCAATCCTGCCAAGAAGGCTTTTATTTCTCTTCGTGTAGTAAGCACAGACAAAATCTGTTGACTCAATCACATGTTTAGTAGAAAAACCAACCACCGCAGATTCCACCTGCAGGAAAGTAAATATACTATTGTGTAAGGACACTGTGGTTTTCTTCTTGGCTGTGTCTAGGGTAAATAGTAACTGAGTCATTCTTACCTCCTGTATTTACTATCAATTAAATCTAAATGTAAAAGAACAAAATCCTGAGCATCAATGTGCAGCAAAAATAGTTGTTCCAGTCATTGTTGTACAAGTAAATTCGCCCCAGAACTCAAATATTCCAAAACATCATTACAAAAGCATGTCATATTCTTCTACAAGTACTGAGAACACTTTTACTTTTTAACATTAAAATCTAACGCATATGACTAAACAAAATAGTCCTGAAATAAAAAAGTAGATCAGAAAAGAATATCACTGATACTGACTGGGGAATGGAAAATAAGTCAAAATAATGGCAAAAAACCCAAAAGAAGAAACCTTTTTGAATTTTGATCACGAGAGCAAGAGGGGAAGAATAAAGGACAAAAAGGAGAGAACAAGAACAAAAAGAAGACTAGGCACCCGTAGCTCAGTGGTAAGTGCACTGGCCACATGCACCAAGACTAGTGAGTTCAAACCCAGCCTGGACCTATGAAAAAAATAATAAAATAAGTTTGGTGCCTGTAGCTCAGAGGCCACGGAAAACTGGCAGGTTCGAATCCAGCCCGGCCTGCCAAACAACAACTACAACCAAAAAATAGCTGGTTATTGTGGTGGGCACCTGTAGTTCCAGCTACCTGGGAGGCTAAGGTCAGAGAATTGCTTAAGCCCGCAAGTTTGAGGTTGCTGTGTGCTATGACACCACGGCACTCTACCCAGGGCAACAGCTTGAGACTCTCTCAAAAATTAATAATAATAATTAATAAATAAATAGCTGGGCACTGTGGTGGGTGTCTGTAGTCCCAGCTGAGGCAAGAGAATCACTTGATCCTGAGAGTCTGAAGTTGCTGTGAGCTATGATGCCACTGCATTCTACCACAGGTAACAAAGTGAGACTCTGTCTCAAAAAAGCAAAACTAAAACTAGAACAAAAAGAATAGCCAGGTGTTGTGGCAGGTGCCTGTAGTCCCAGCTACTTGGGAGGCTGAGGCAAGAGAATTGCTTAAGCCCAAGAGTTTGAGGTTGCTGTGA